AAAATCTATACATGGTTATGCATAGCCACATTGCTAAACAAAAGCATACACAAACAAGAGGCTCTGAAAACTCTGACCTAACATAAAAATTGTATATGAATGGATCATTTAATGACCCTCATCATCTATTTGTCTACCAACAAAAAATAAATCTCTTAATGCAACATCTCAGGGCACATGAAAAATTGTGGTCAGGCAACATAGTAACATCAAAAATCAAAATTACTGGCTTCTACTTGGTAAATATTTTTAGAGCATTAGAAGTTCAAATAACATAAAACATAAATGATAGAGATGAAATGTTGGATAAGTTTTTTTTTTTTTTTTAATCCTTTTTAATACATTTGATGCAGGATTAACCAGGAGAAATGTCAACATACCTGTACTTCTGCTGATATAAATGAAGGATCTAGGTTTTCGAGCAACAACAATGTACCGCTTTCTTGGGCAGTCTGCAGTCTTTGCTCCCAAGGCTGATTATGAAGAATAAGATATAATATAAACAGTAGGATAACACCAAGAAAGGAACTAAATGAATAAATTCTAGCAATCCAGGCATTGGCATAGAGAACATGGATAACAGTTCATTCTAAAGGACAAGGATTTTATGGTATGCAGTGTGCATAAGGTAAGTATTCATTGAAAAACCAAATGTCAAATGGATGACATTTGAAGCCAACAACAGAATATGGTTCTGTGGAAGCAATCATATGATTCTCAACAAGACACAACATAAATGATTGGAACAATTTTCAAGAACCAAGAAATGACAAGGCTTTTCTCAAGCTGTTGAAGCATATTTTGTCAGACTTCCAGTCCCCTCTCTTCAATTGGTTATTCCAATAACATCTTGCAAATACTTCACCCAAATACTTCACTAACTAATGCAGACAAGGAATGAATGTCTATATTATCTAGGATTCTATTATAATTATGACTATTTAAGAATTTTGTTAGATACCATTCAATAAGGAGTTCATTATATCAGGTTTGACATTTTTTATTTCGAAGGATTTAATTTAGTTCCTAGTTTGTTTAAGATTCCGCATCCTTTTTAAAAATAAAAATTCCTATTAGGAGTCTCATTAGAGTTTAGATTATCTATATAAGCATTAGCATTTTTTTTAATCAGCCATATAAGCGTTAGTTCATATTTGAATTAAGCAGTTAATGATGAATTGAGAATTAAATCTCCCAAAATCCTATGATTCTTTTACTTCTCTTCTCATTTTTGCATTTGTTCTCTACCATTATACATCACTAACATTCTCAATGCCTCAACTATCCCTGGTACTGTACATATTAATCACCAAGATGTGGGATTGCAACAATTCATTCAGTTCACATCCTCCTATCTAAAAGTTTTCTTTAAACAGAAACTATAAATTACAAAACAAGGAAGCACCCACCATGCTGCATCCATCTCACTTTGTTTAACAGATAACATCCTCCCTGATAATCCTAATATTGGGAATAACCAAACAAATGGGAAAATATACTTGTAAAATTCCCCTAGAACCAATCCTAAAGGTGTAGAATAACTGCATATTTAGTAACATTACAAGTGATAATTCCCTTCTAGATCTTCTTTCTCACCCTGCAGGAGTCAAACACACAACCTCAAGGTTGTGGGGCTCAGTCTTTAGGACCTTACCACTGGACCTGAGGCCTCATTGGAAGAATGTCCAAAAAAATTGAAAACAGTTAACTAAGTATATAATATTGTGTAATATTATTATAAAGTATAAAATATTGCCATGAAGATTGTGAAATGATATAGCCATGAAGATTTATGCCAAAAAAAAATAATAATAAAACCACGAAATTTTATCTATACTTCTTGAGAATTAAGTGTAATAGAATGATATATTGACTAAGGCAAGTTTGCATAATTTTAAAGCAAAACATAAACACCCTCAATAAGCCCTAATTGTACATAAGCTAATTCAAATTTAATGGGACAGAAAAGAAAAGCACCTATTTAAAAAATAAACAAAATGATTTCATTTCTTTCAAATGAGGGAGAAAACTAGATATTCTTTTATGCATCATAAACTGCTACTTTTTATCTTAAAATTTCTTCATTTGATTTCATTTCCTATCATCCTTAAGCATTAGAGAAAACAATTTTTTACAGAAATAAATTGCCGAAATAAAGACAATGCCTATGAAAACGAAATGCCTCAATATTATCCCATGATGGTAAAAAATTGAAATGTGTACTCACTAGTTTGTGGAACCAGTTTCCTCTGTTCTGCAAGCACCAAAACAAACTTTATTCATTAATTAACTTTGAAATTGTTTGCTTAAAACTTTAGTAAATTTAAATCCTAACAATTCTAGTGCATCTAAAAAAAAAAAAAAAAGAAGAGAGGAGAGAAGAACATAGTGCCAAAATGGATCCAATTTGAAATAGTAAGATGCTAAAAGCAACAGTAACATATAACAAAGTAAGAAGTCTCCTCTCCAATCATTGCATATTCTTAATAGGTAGTAGATCAGGCCCTTAAATAACCTAAGTGATTAGACTGAATTCTGTTACTGAGGACTTCAGATATTTAAAGACATTAAAAGTTGTTTCTCTTCAAAGTTTTTTCATTTGCTTTTACATTAATTTCTAATTATCTATAGCAAGACAATTATAAAAAAACTGAGAAAAGTTAATGTGAAATAACCCAAAACTTACAGCATCAAGACTACTAGTAACCTTCATAAGTTGGCCTTTTGTTTTAATGGCCTTATCCTCTGCAAGTTGAGCTGCTTCTTTATCAGACTCACTATCGGACTCCTCATCCATAATAAATTTCCTCTTTTTGTAAGGGTGAACATTAGTTGCTCTTGTAGAGGAATCCTTGCAAACTTTTGCTTCAAGTTTATCTAGGCACTGTGAACTTCTAGCTGTCCCTGTCCCATTGTCATGACTAGAAGCTTTCAGCTTCAAAGAGATACTCTTGTCTGGAGGATGCTTTAGCTCACTCACATTAACTGCATCTTTTGTAGATTCTGTACGTACAAGAAACAAGCTGATTTTTATCTAATCAGATGAATATGAAATTAATGAAACTAAACACAGTTAATGATGGGAGAATAGCCACCTTTCTTTATTGTGGTGCCAATTACTTTGTTTACACCAGACTTTGAAGAGAGACCTGAAATTGCAGTCCGATCAACTTTTGCTTTGGGATTTGGAGCGCTAATGGGCTTTTGATCAATTCTCCTGTTGAAGAAATACTCCACTGCATCCATTCAGAGAAACTGAGCAAGGCTAATATTTATCCCCGCAAAGAAATCAACAGTAGGTGTTTTATGTTGACATTCCTATTCAGTTATTAATATTCGGGAGAACCACTAAATTTCTGGAATTTCCAAGGTATTCTTCTCAGGAGACAAGAGCCGTTTCTCTTTGCAAAGCAGCATGTGAGTAATGAATATACAGATAATTATCAATGCCTACTTTCTGTGAAAGAAAGTAATAGCCTGGCTTATTTTGTATTTGTACATGCCATAGTGATTAAATCTGTTACGGACAGTTGAAAACCATTACAACCATCAAATGCATGCTTTTTGCGTTTCCAGCAACGGAAATGAACCTAACTCCTGAGATACACTACAAAATCTTGGAGGCTTAAGACGAAGGCAATCATATGGTATAGGACAGATCTAGGTTATTAGCTCACTAAATCTAAAGCAAATATAAATCGTTTATCTCCAGTAATTAATTTCACCATGAGCATGGTATGTGTGCGTGTCTGTGACTGTGTACCTAAGGTTGGCAGCAATATTGACTTAGCAATGACAAAAGGAAAATTTTCTTAATTGCCGGTTAACAGATAAAAGACAGATAAGAACCAAAAGATACTAAAATACTAATTATGGAACCAATTATCAAATTAGACATTCTAGGATGGTAATCTAACCTTTAACACCATCTATGTTGTCCGGAAAAGTCTCCAAGATTGCAAGCTTTCCAACATCAAAAGTGCAGTGGAAGATGTAATCAGCCATTCTTATTGCTGCTTTAGATGCCTGAGGATTTCTGTGATCATGAGATGCACAGACAACATTGCATTTTCCCGCAATGAATTTCTGCATGATTCAAACATGAAGATGTCAACAAATCATTTTATTTGTTTGACCACAAATTAAGATCGTCACATAAGGTTACTTGTTCAAACACAATTGTTATAACCACTCGGTAAGGATTAGTGCCCAAAGTTTCATAAATTTATTCATCTTTGCAAGAAAAGACAAGGACATATTACATCAATAAAAGGAAAAATGCTAGAAAAAAGGCACTGTAGCCATACATTACAAGTATTGCTGAAACCATATAAATCAGATGGGTTTTTCCATCATCTGTGTCCTCACTTAAACAACAATCAGCAAAGCGATGTTATTCATGATAGATAATATCAAGTTGACCAATACATCATTGTCAAACTTCAATACAATCATAGTAGAGGTGGAGTTTGCATAAAGAATGATAGCTATTTAGTACAATATCAGAATCATTTCTTCCTCTTTCCAAAACCATATATGACAGCCAGAAAGATACAATACACGTAATTACAATAGGTTGGTTGTGAAAAGGATGAATTTAGCTCACAGATAACAGACAATCTTCCAAAAGATAAAAAAGAAGATAATATGAATTATGAAATATATCATGATAATTAATATCAAATGATAAAAGATGTATTTACCAGAAGAACCAAACTAGAAAGCCCAACTCCCTCACCAGAAGCTAGAAATAACTCATTCCAGCATGGCACATAATCTCCCAAGTGGTTTCGAATTTCAGTTGGGCGTAGAAACCAAACTACTTTCACTCTCTTTTCAGATGTTGAATTTTCATAGATCTTCACAATCTTACCAATGGAAGTCTCAGGAGAACCCTGGATGTTAAAATAGACACAGTCATAGAGAAAGTATTCCACACCATCATAAGTAAATGACTCATAAAACTTCACATTTTTGTTGTTTTGTCCAAGTGCCTTCAGAATACCCCACTTAAATTGAGGATTCTCTTCTCTACTTCTACTTTCCTTTTCAAGATGTGACATGATGCAAGAATCTGCAGATGTTGAACTATATTCCTCAGCCCTTCAGAACCTATCATATCAAAGATATAAAGAATAAGAACAGTGGTATCTAAACTTCATTCATGCTCTAAAGAGACAAATGGCAGGGACTTGATGCCAAGATCACTTGTAAAATATGAGAAACTTCTGAGTTTATTTGCATCCTAGTGATCTTACACAAGTGCATGAAAAGCATCCCAATTCACCTCTAGTTTTAATTAACTGCCATCTGATGATCTAATCACTTTAAAGGATAATGGATCCAAGGACACAGCATCCAGCGATCTTGGAGGGAAATTTTTGGGGTTAAATATACTCAATTCCAAAAAACAACTAAACATGTCCTAGATACAATTACATTTAATCATAAATTCCCAAAAACTTTCAATAACTAAAAATTAAAAATGTACTCTCTCAGGTCCAAATAACTTGTCACACTTTGACTTCGCACAGTAATGCTTTTATATAGCTACAAATGATAGTTTGAAAAACAAAAAAAAATCTATATGTAGTTCTTGTTGATAAAAAAAAATAATAATAACAACTGTCATTTTTAAACTGCATAAAAACATTAACTGAAGTGCAATAACTAGTTTGGACTGGAGGGAGTAGCACAAATACAACACTGTGATGTTCAACTTATGAGAATTACATAACTTCAAGATCATGATCACTAGCAATCAAAAATGAAAAATGGTAACACTAGCCCCTTTAGCCCCACCCCAAAAGAAAAAAAAAAAGAAAAAAAAAAGAGGTTTTAATCCCATTTTAGAAACAAAATAACTCCCACAAGATCATAATTCCCCAGTACAGAATAATATAACAGAATTAATTAGTTGAAATAACATTCATGCGTGCTTGAGGAAACCTAAGATAAATAGACCTCGGCATGAGGGGGGGAGGGTGAGGAAGCAAGTGGGTCAGAATACAACTTGAGCATCTAACATAAAACCATTTGACAAGCTCCTCATCCTCATGTGAGGTCCCAATTCCGGAGAACAGAAAACAAGTGGGGTTGAATATAACATGAACATCCAAACTAAACCAATTCCCAATCTTTGGGAATTTTCCCACTTGACAAAACCAAACAGATTGCACCAGAAATGAGCCACAAAAATACCATGGATATATAAACCTCACATCCCATACCTTGCAATTAGGATTGTCAAAGAAAAAATATATGAACCAAACAACCAAAAAACATAAAATAAAAATACACAATAAACAGACCGCCTAATGAAGCAGAAAATCTTCCTTTTCGAGGACAAACCCATAATGCAGTCTACATGAAAAATCCTTATGGCTCCTGGACAAGAGAAAAAAAAGGGACATATGTTAGTTTCAAAACAAATTATTAGCCAATTAATTACTGTGAAATAAGGTCAATAAAACACTCAAAACCAACAAAACAAAAACAGATGGCCAAAACAAAAACAGAGAGCAAAGGAAACAGAGAAAAATCGTTTAAAGAAATCCAAGACATGAGAAAATGGGATACAACAGGAAAAAAAAAATGCCGATCATCATACCAAAAGCCCCAAAACAAGGATTACAACACCAAAAACAACACACAGAGAAGAAAATAAGAAAAAAAATAGACGAAAAATGCGCACTGATGAAATTGGAAAGAAAACAGAGAGTGGGTTAGCTTCAATGGGAAACAAAAGACAAAAAAAAAAAAAAAGGAAAATGGGTATGAGAATCGGTTTTAAAAAGGAGAAAACAAACCCCTTTACCAACCACCATAGTGACCATACCCCATTAAACCCACGTAGAACAACATTTACATGTACACATACATGAAAATCACAACATGGAGGTGTATAAATTCACAGAGAGAAAGGAAAGAAAGTAAGCTCTTACCATTAGAAGGAGAAATACCCACAAACAAGATGAAGGAGGAGGAGAAATACAAATGGAAGACAAATAAAACCCAGAAGAAAAGGAAAGCAAGGCAAAGGAGTCAAAGCACTAATACTGCAATATGGTGGAATTTGTTGTGGGGACGGCGAGATGGATTTAGGGGCAGTAAGAACAAGGGGAAGTTGTAAATTAAGGGAATGAAGCAGTTTCTGTATGCCCGTGTGTGCCAGTAGGGACCAGACAACCGTACAGTCAGTGGTGCGCTTTAATGCCGCGGACTTAAGTGAAAAATGGAAAAAAAATTAAAAATACATTTCCGTTCTCCCGCGCCTTCTCCTCTCACGGGCCTCTGGCTTTTTTCTATTTTCTTTTTAGAAAAATGATTTCGGATAATTTTTTTTATTATTTTTTATATAACTTTATGTATTATTTATATAATTAATTTTTTATTCATTTCAAATTTATTATGTTAAATATATTCACTAATTTAATGATATATAAAAATTATATAAAAAAATAATATAAAAATTTTTTCCTATAACACTTTCTTTTCCTTTAATTGTACGGATAAAAGAGAAGTTTTTAATGAAAAAATAATTAAGAAAATATTGTAAGAAAAATTAATAAATAATGTTTAAAAAAATTAATAAATTTTATATGTAAATTTTGTTAAAATGTTGTTAATTTTTTTGTATTTGACTTTAGTGTGATTTCAATTTTTGAGTTCTAAGTTGTCCTTTTTTGTATATTTAATAATTATTATTGTATGTAAAAATAAAAATTTATTACATATAAAACTTGAATATATTAAATATAAAATTAATTGTTAAATATATAAAAATTAAAAATTAAAAACTCAAAATTAAAATTATGTTTATATTAAATTCACTCTAAATTAACACTATATTTCATTAGTTAATTATTAAGTACATTTAATATCATCATCATAATTAAAATTTAAGTCATAATACTGTCATGTTAGCCATTCTCCATCTATTATCCCAAATTGTAGCTGTTAAAAAAAAAAATAGAGCCTAGGTTAATCAATTAATTTGATTAAAACCAAATTCCTTTCATTGAAATTTATTTTGTTGGGGTAGATGAAAGGCAAAAAATTGCAAATTAATTAACCAAAAGGAGCTATTAACTTAACCGAAATTTGTTAAATTCAGACAAATCAGCCAACTTAAAGATTAGAGATAGGCACTAAAAAAACTTTTTTTATGGAATTTAATTCAACTTAATTTATGGATTAATTAAATCTAATATAATTTACTGATACTAAAGAGTTTAATACAAATAATAGTATCTATTATTATTATTATTATTACCAATGTAATCATTTAGACCATAATTTATAAGAGTAATATTTTTTTATCATAAATTTATATTGTAAAAATAAAAATTGATTTTTAATTTATAAATCGTCTAATTAGATTCATTCATTTGATAAAAATATTAAAATTAATGTCAATTTTTATATTTTTTAATATATATTTATAGCAAATAAATATCCTAAAAACACAAATTAAAAAAATCCTTAAAAAAATCCTATTTTTGTAACATAGGATAAATAAATTATCATTCACTAACTTTGTAACAAAAATAATATTTGTTTTTCTTTTGTTTAATGAAAATGGAATTACAGTTTTACTCAATATTCATTTCCCATCACCTCTTTTGGAAATTCAACCACTTAATAGATAGGGCAAATATGACAGCAAAGGCCACAGCAAAAACAACAACAACAATTGCTACAACCCCAAGAAATTCATGCCTGTAATCAAAATAACTCTTCAAGAATTCTTTCACCGTTTGATTATTGTCAAGCATGTCTTCTAAGTCACCAAACTGCGACGCAAGCACTCCATACAAGGTCCAAGCAACTGGACACAACCAAGAGTACCAACTCCACCACACAGGAATTCTCTGTTATTTTTAGAAGAGAACCAAAACCAAAGTTTAAAACCTGGCTGAGAGATCCGTATATCACTAGTATAAAAATTTGTCGAGAGAAACTTACAGGTCTTGGGATGGAAAATCCGGAAAACAGGTTCCACATGGAATAGATTGCAGTGGAAACAACTGTAGCAACTTGCTGATTTGGAGTCAGCGCTATGGACATCATACCAAAGTAGGTGTAATACATTAACGAGAAATACATGAAGAACATGTACCAGAAGAACTTAGCAGCAGTCCATTGATATCCAATCATAGCATAAATTATCACCCCATATAGCACTGCTTGTGCAAAGAGGTAAGGTAGCTCAATCACAACCTGTCCAGGAAAGGAAGAAGTTTTGTTAGGGCAAACAAAGGCACAATTGCTTAAAAAAAACTGTTTCGAGTAGGATTTTATGTTTTCAAAAAAGGTTTTGGAAGTCTAAGGAACATGGTTTTGGGATTAGATAAACAATGTAGGAACTAGTTACCTGTGCAAAGGCATGAGGCAATGGCGCATACATTCCGGCAGCCCTTTCTCTATAGAAGACAGTTCGTTCAACTGAGACGACTGGCTGCACTGTAAAGGAATTTTGGACACCAATGAAGATAACGCAAGAGTACATAGCACCCATTGCATTAAACAGGTCTTGTCGCTTTTTCCTAACAAGAACAATTTTAAGATTGAGTGAAGAATAGATCGATACACACATTCCACACTTCATTCTCCTTAACTAGATTAGGTAATTACCTTTTGGAGCCAAGGTCCCAAAATATACTCCCAAACACCAAAGCTACAAATGCCGTGAACAGAATCCTAAGAGCTGTGTTTGATGTGTTCCTCCAATATGAACAATTTTGCTTCCACAAGCAAGCTTTGAATTGGTTGAAGAAAGTTTGAGAGTATTTTGTTGGGAAGTATATATCTTTTGATCCTGGTGAAGGCTTGCTTAGTTCTTGAATAAGAGCTTTGTTTCTCCTGTAATGTATATATAGACAAAAGTTGAAAAAGTTGTCATACATTTGGTTAAACAAACTCCTGTAAAGAAAGCAATTGATATAATCCAATTAGCTCACCTGTAAAGATCAGAATTCCTGTAAACTTCATGGAAATTGATTCCAAGAGTTGCCTGTGCTGAAGTTGTTACCTCCAGAACCCATGTTGCTGGATTATAACCATCCGTGATTTTAGTTACCCCTTCTATTGCCTAGATCACAAAAACACATATTATCTCCATGTTAGCCAGGCAGCCTCTGCCTAACAGGCCATTGGGAAAGACTGAAAATTTAAGCAAATTACCTCAAAGTAACTAATTAGGTGACAAGAGTTTCGACCCAATGGACCTACATATATTTCCAACCCACCTCTTGCTAGTAAAAATAACTGCAATTCAAGGTTAGAAAAAAAAAATGCTTCAAGATCACATAAAATTGCATGTGCAATGAACAAATTTTCATTTTTTCTAAATCTCATAAATCTTAGCACACCTCATCAAAAGCTTCGAATACGTCAATGCTTGGCTGATTGATGTTACAGACCACTGTTCTTCCTGTATCAACGGTATTCCTAACTGCTCTCATAACGATGGCTGCTGCTCTTGCATCAAGCCCTGAGGTTGGCTCATCCATGAATATGATGGAGGGATTTGCCACTAGCTCAACTGCAATGGTAAGCCTCTTACGTTGCTCCAAAGACAGGCCATTCACACCAGGCAATCCTACCAGTGCTTCCTTTAGCGAAGACAGTTCCACAAGTTCCATTATCTCCTCAACAAACAGCTGCAGCCATTAATTCAATAAAGTGTGAGTGTATTCCTATTATTAGTTCATGGTTAAAGAACATGTTAAGATCCTGATAGAGATTGTTTGTTTCATATGAACTAACCTTTCGGGTTTCAGAATTGACTTCACGAGGCAGACGAAGCCAAGCTGAGTAGAGCAAGGACTCATAGACAGTAACATGAGGAGAGTGGATATCATTCTGTTCACAGTAACCAGAAATTCGAGCAAATGTATCTTGGTTCTTTGGGTGTCCAGAAACAGTTATGGTTCCCTCAATGTATCCGCCAGTTTTCCTACCAGCCAGAACATCCATCAAGGTGGTCTTCCCAGCACCACTAACACCCATTAGAGCTGTAAGAACACCAGGCCTAAAAGAGCCACTCACACCCTTTAAAAGCACCAGTCTATCTTCATTAACAGCTTGATCTTTCATTGCCTGCATAATGCAATTACAATTACGAGTGTTTCTTTTTTTTTTCTTCATATTCAGAAAACAAAATACATTGAGTAGATTTGGAGTTACTGGTGGCATATCAACTGAGTATCTCATATCATCGAAAGTTATTAAATGTGGTTCGAACGGAAGAATCATTCCTTTTCTCTTGGATTGTCTCAAGGATGCCTCTGCAAAATCTCCGGTCATCGCAGTTGTAATGGCAGAGGAGACTCTTCTTAAAGTTCCATTTCCTCTCTCTAAAAGTTATGAATATGCATAAAGAAACACATGCATTAAAACACATTAAGGAAATTAAAGTAGAATTTTCTTAGAGGTAACATGCCAGTTACCTGTAGATTTGCTTCCTCGATGCAGGAGCATCATTGTTTCTTGAGTACCATCATCCTCTTTCTCTTTCAATGTTTCCTCGGATACAAAGGCCTCACGCTTCTCTATTGCTGTCAATATTTCAGGATTCAAAGTCAATACCAAGTCATTTCCTAGCCAGAAAATTTTTAGGAGAATAGTTTAGAGATGTGCTAACGTTTGAGATAAGTTAGAGCTACAGTGTAGAGGAAATTGTACACCAATGTGAATCCTATCGTAGCCCCTAATCCAATCCAGTACCAACATGAATCTGTAAACGATCCTCGAGCTTTCAAAATTGCAACTCCAAGTGAACCACTAGGATGCTGGTGGTCCATTGACATAAAAGGATTTAAATTAGTTGTTAGCTGATGATCTTGATTATTAAAACTAACTAGCATATGTTTGCAGTGAGACATAAATTTAAGTAACTTACAGGTTTTTTCCAACTGTGTCCAAGGAATTCATTTACCACCAGTGCATTTTGCCCATACATCATAGGAGCTGACCAAAAGGCCCAAATCCACCACTTCTTTATTTGTTCTAGGGGCATAGAAAGAGTAATCAGTTTCTGATGATAATGATGTTTGATATTTTTAGGTTAAATGTCAATTTTAGTATCTAAACTTTTAATTTTGAAGATTCTTATTTCCTAAAGTATTTTTATACTTTTGGTCACTAAGCAATGAAAAATGTACTTTTTAAGTTATTTTGTCAATTAGTATAATAAATTTATCTAAGCATGCACACTTTTAATCTCTCAATTTATATTATATGAACATTTTTAATTTATATAGATAAACTTAATAGAATAATTGATTGAATGACTAAAAAGGTGCAAATTTTATAGTTGAGAGACCAAAAAAGAAAAAAAAAAAAGTTCAAGAGCTAAAAGTGTTCAAAATAAAAGTTTAGGAATTAAAAATTAACATTTAATTATATTTTATCCCTTCTTTTTTTTTTGAAAATTAGAAATTAGTTTAGAAATATACCTCTTGAAAGGACAAAACCACCTAAAATGAAATAAAGCATCAATATAAAAGCACCAAATGTGTTTCCATAAGCCATGGTCCTTGTGATAGCTCCAAGAAGCCGAAAGAATGCAGAGGCCATGACTTTTATAAGAAAAAGTATGAGAAACTGTTTGAAGTATCTGCGAGAAAATTATCTGTTACTGAGAAAATCAATTGAATGTTGAAGCCATTCTGTAACCAAGCACAGAGCAAAAGTGGTTAGTACCTGCCTACGTTTGGATCATAGCCAATGACATAATAACTTGGGAAAACGAGCACTCCTATTTCCACAAATGCCAGGGGGATCCTAAGGACCCATGAGGGAAGAGCATATGCCCATGCAGGATAGAAAAGCATACCTCTCTGCTTGTAAAATATCGGAAGGTTTGCAATGGTCATGATTACTTCTGAGAATCCATTGAACATGGTTACATACAGTAAGAAGAAGATAGAACCCATGAATACCCCTCCATCACTCTCTGAATTTCGATGCATCTTAGGTCGTAGGAAGACTGTCATTGTGATGAATGCTGTCACTGCTAGCTGAAAATGGAAAAGAAACAAATGCTTGATGGTTGCATTATTGAGTCTAAAATTTAGAATTAAAATCAAAATTCAGTGAGATATATATGCACCTGGAAGATCTTGAAGTTGTGGACAAATGAGTTTCTCTTCATTAGCAAGAGCTCTCTTGAAAAGCAAGCTTTCAAGAGCTCTATTTTTTTAACACCATATTTCTTGGTTGTCAAGGCAGCTCGATGATTTTTCCTCTTGTCAAATGGGATGCTGATCTCGGTTTTGAGTTTCTGGCCAACATGAAATGACTGGAAGGCCTCTGCAAATTGCTTGACTGTAACACATCTGTAAGGCTCATCTCTATGTGCCCAGTATTGAGCCTGATCCTTCCTTGACGTCACCTGGGAGAAAAAGAAATACCTGTTTAATTCTCTTGGGAGGAAAACGGAAAGAAAGAAAGATCAAATGTGTTCTTACTTCTTGAAGAAAGTCAGCTACTCCTTTTCTCTCAGGACATTTAAACCCCATGGATTCAAAAAATTCAAGCACATGTTCACGAGGTCCTTGATACACAACCCATCCATCAGAGAGGAGAATAATGTCGTCAAAGAGGTTGTAAGTCTCAGGTGCAGGCTGTAGGAGAGAGATCAGAGCAGTACCATCTAGAATGTGGACATATCTCTTAATTGCATTCACTACTTGGAAAGTGGTGGAGCTGTCTAAACCAGTAGATATCTCATCCATTAGCAGCACCTTTGCTGGTCCAACCAGCATTTCCCCTACAATTTTAATATCATCCCACACGCCATATATCAATGAACTGATCATAAGAAATAAGAATAATTAAGTAATGAAATGAATTGATTTACCCGTAGTGAGACGCTTCTTTTGCCCTCCAGAGATACCCCCTAACATTGCATTGCCTACTAGGTTATCTGCACAAACATCTAGTCCCAAAATCTGCAGTTTCATGTTAAGAAAAATAAAAAATAGTATCTGGTTTTTCTTCATGTATGATAACTCAAAACAATTTTAGCTAGAGTAATATAGACACTACCTTTAGATTATAATCTACAACAATGTTCATCTCTTGGCCTTCTATGGCTGATGCCTGAAATATTAGCAGTGGTTAGTGGTGATGGCACCAAAAAGAATCGAAGAAAGTGGCTAGTTGCCTAGTTTCACTCTGTAAAGATTAATTTTTTAGATAATGCAATTCACCTTCATAAATAAGTCGATATCAGGATCTGGCATGATATTTAGTGCTTTCTCTCTTCTCAACAATTCAGTTAACATATCTGAAATTGCAAAAATCAAATCAAACTCATCGAATACAATAAAACATCTTCCCAGGGAACAATTTTTTTTAACTGCACTAGAAGACTTTCTCTTGATCAGGTTCATAGCAGGAAAAACGAATTCTTCATACTAACCATATTGTGATCCAACACCCTGGCATCTGGCTGAGAAAGCCATTGTCTCTCTAACTGTCATTTCGGGTATATGGAGATCATGTTGGCTTATATAAGCAGCAGATTTTTGTGGAACAAATTCATTCATGTCGTGGCCATTATAAGTCACCCTCCCTGAGAACTGATATCAAATTCAACTAAGAAAGTGCAACCATTTATCTGAAAATTTTCATGCTCTAATATTGAATAACAAGAGTAAATGGCTAAGAATTTTTTTTTTTCATTTTTACCTTAAGATTTCGATCAAGCATCCCTGCCAGAGCAAGTAGAAGTGTGGTCTTCCCAGAACCCGGAGGACCTAAAAGCAATGCAGTTCTGCAGAAATAGAAAATTTGAGTAATAATAATAATAATAATTTTTTATTTTAGGTTGCATAATGGAAAGCAACCTTTGACATCCCTTAAACTACCTTATTTGCATAGCATGCAACTCAAATTCAAAATCTCCTACTTTTACTAAGAGATTTTCACCGAGATACTTGGATCCTTGATAGTTGTCATTATTTAAATAGTAAGAAAAGTAGAAAAGAGATGAAGCTATTAGTAACACATTACTTCGAAAATATGGTCTGCCTTCTTACCTCCCAGGCCTAATAACTCCAGTAATATCTTGAAGGATCTTTAGTTGTTTCTTTCTACTAGGAAGTATGCGGAGATAATTCAAGAAGCCCTTTTGAACCAAATCATAAATCAAAATTCAAGAAAAAAAATTAGCCTAAAGAGAATAATAACAATCATTAAACTGTAGTACGGATTACTAACACAAACAATACAATTTAAGGAAATTTACCTCCACTATGTTAGTGAAAAAGTTTAAGAGTGTAGGCAAAGATCTGCTTCCTAAATAGACTTTAGCTTCGACATTTAGATTCTCGAATCGAACTTCAATTGTCGGAAGCTTTATTCCAACCCTGATTGTATCAAAATGGTAAAATTGAGCCAGTTAATGATTGGTGATAACAAAAATCAAATTAAAGTGATAGTCCATAAAATTATCTGACCAAAGAGCAACCGAAGTAAATACTCACAAATTTCAAAGAATTGAAGTTCTATTATAATTAATTTACCTATCAATTCGATTTCTGAGCTTCAACAAGAATTTCTCATTATCTTCTTCAGTGTTCTTCACCAGCTTCTCGACCATCTTAATTTTTTCTTGTAACCCAAGGTTCTTTACGTTCACCTCAAGGGGCTGCCTTTGTGATCCTAGTAGTAAGCCCTTCTTGGTACGATCATATGTGGGAAGTCTTTCTATGGCAGCCCACTTCAGAGCTTCTTCATCATCTTCTTCATCTCGGGCAGATGATCTAAAAACATTCATGTCATTGTTCCTCATGATTTGGGAACTCTCTCTGCTTAAACTAAAACCAAGATTGTAAATGTCACCACTCGGCATCTTGGTTACAACAACAAAAAATTGTCAAAACCCAGTATATCTATATATATATATATGTATAAAATTTTAGAGGTAAAAAGCCTTGATCAAGAAAAGAGATAATCAAATTCTTCAGACAGAGAGCCTAGAAGGTATTGTCTTAGGTGTCTTGGTAATGGATCCACAGGAACTTAACTTTGCTGTAAAGATGTGTGCTGACAACACTAGAATATGGATGGATGTCTTGACATATATATGGGATATTTAATATTGAAATCAAATTGAGTTACTAAATGTAGATAACAATTTGATTATGAAAATCTGTTGAGTTCTCAAATTAGTTAGATTTTCCCCATTTTTGGAGATATATAGATCATCATTTTTACTTATTAACTAACACATAATCCAGATAGAATCCCATAAAGATAAGTTACCAATTGTAGTGACATGGGTGAGAAATATTGAAATTATTGGCAACATTAAAATTTGTTCTTCTAGAAGAGAATTGCAAAAAATATCTCAAGATGAAATATCAAGTGAATAAACTTCTTTGGCCAAATGTTTTTCTTCAATTCCTTCTTTTTCTTCTTATTCTTTTTTTTTTTTTTTGAATTTGATTGCCGTTTAATATATAAAACTCTTCACTATTCAAGTCATTTTCCATCTATCAAAAAATTTTCACATTTGACTTTCGATTTAAAGTTCCCATAAAAAAATACACAACATAACAATAGATTAAAAGACAAAAAAATGCATAAAACCTCAATCGCCTCTCTCCCTCCCTCTTTCTCTCTCTTTCCTCTCTTGCTTCTTTTTTCTCCCTAGACGTGCCTCCTCTTCCCTTGGTAGCTAGAAAGAATGAATAAAGATGGGATTTTTTCTCTCTTTTTGATGGTTTCTCTCCTTTGTAAGAATTTATCCCTCTTTCAAGGGGTTTTCACTTCAGCTTTCTCTTGATATTTTCATCACAAGTATAGTGATGGGGCTAGTTAGGCTCAAACTAGCTAATGGCATGGTAGGGAGCTTAAAGGAGTCTCTAACTCTTCATTAGACTAATGCATCTCTTCTTTGTTACGACATCCACTGGGTGGGGACTATTGTTTCCAAACGTGGCTTTCCCAAAAGTTTGCTTTGCATATGTGATTACTTAATAACTTAGAACACTCACAATAGTAATTTTTCTTTTTCAGTGGCTTTGCTTTTACCCTATAACTATTATTCTAGTAATCTATAGTAATAATTGTCTTTTTTTACCTTTTTTTTTTTCTTGAGAGGCGTTCACTCTTTTTACTTAATTATCTAGATTTATAGTAAACACATTTTTTATTGCTAATGCTATAAGTTTAGCTTTTATTCTATGCTGGTATAATCTATCCTTTATTATTAATGAATCTCATTATTTTCTATGAAATAAAATAAAATTAATTAAGGGCAAAATTATGGAACCAAAAATAGCATAACCAAGTTGGTAGGAATGACAATTTCCTCCAAGCTTCGTAGAGCTATGCAAGGATCCTCATGGCATAGAGATAAAGGTTCTCAAAATATTTTTCCCACAAGACAAGGATGGAAATGATTTTTTCCCTTTAAAATTTTGTAGGGAATTTCCCTTGATCTATATATTAATAAAAAATTATAAATTATATTTTTATAAATTATAATAAACCCAAACATCCTAATTCCCAAACCCACAAACTCTAGTCACAAATCGATTGACTTGCATCTCTTCTCTCTATTACCTCACTCCCTCTTACCCTCACCTCTTTGTTTAAAGGATTTCTCTTAACTTACATTTAACTTATTTTATTTTATTTTATTCACTATCTAGAAAAAAAAATATTTAGAAATGGCTAGCTTTTCTAAAATGATTTTGAACCTCTTTCTTTTTTAAATTAGAAATTAAATGAATCAAAATATTTTTATATACAATGAAAAAATATTTTTATATATTTTTACAAGAACTCCTAATTCCTTATAGAGACTAGAGAGAATATTTTTATCATCCGTATAAAATCCTGAGAATGTCCAAACCCACCAATAGCGAGAACAAGGATGGAGAGGGGATACAGTGCTGTCGCACCTATACCCAGGGGAAGCCTTCCTCCCCTCCATCTCGCATTTGCCATCCGAAATCAGAAGGACCTCCCTTTACTATAAACTCAAACAAATCAATACTCCAACGAGGAGAGACCAGAACCTCCAAAAACCCTAGGAGAAAAGGGAGAGAGCATTTTTTTGAGATATCATTAATGCCTCACAGATTTCTTTAAACGTGAGATAATTTGGAACAAAATTTTAGAGCTAAAACATCTAATATTAAAGAATAGAAAGAGTTTTGGGGATATATTCAAGCAAAAAAGACTGTTGAAAGCTCGTCTAACAGGTATACAGAATTCCAGTAGTTATCAATTTTCCCCTTTTTTACAGAAACTGGAGGGTGAACTCTTGGAGGAATATCATAGAATCTTGCATGCTGAAGAAATATTTTGGTGCCAAAAATCTCGTGTGGAATGAATTCAATCGGGTGACAGGAATACATCTTTCTACCATGCTTCTACAATTGTCCGAAGAAGTAGAAACAATATTACAGCCTTGAAAATAGGAGACAGTTGGGTGGAGGATGATATGCAGCTACGAAACCATGTCAGAAGTTTTTTTCAAGAACTGTTTGCGGCAAGACTAGTATCAGAATGGCCAGAATCTTACATAAATTTTCAACCTCAACTGGAAAGCTCTGCCCATGACTTGATCCTGCAAACAACTAATATAGATGAAGTAAAACATGCCCTCTTTTCGATGAAAGGTTTGAAAAGTCCTGGACCGGATGGGTTGCAAGCTATTTTTCTTCAGAAAAATTGGGATGTGATATCAAGTACCTTCATTCATTTTGTGAATTCAACTTTGGCAAATGGCTCCTTTGAGTCTTCACTTCCGCAGGCACATATTACTCTAATACCCAAAGAAGATGCTCCTGATATTATTAAAAAATTTAGGCCAATAACCCTTCTTAATACTGCTTATAAAGTATTATCAAAAGTACTTGTGAACAGGTTGCGACCTTACTTGCAGAAGCTTGTAAGACCTTTCCAAAGCAATTTTCTAGCAGGGCGAAGTACTATAAATAATATTGTTCTCACACAGGAGGCAGTGCACAACATGTGGAATATGAAAGGCAAGAAAGGGGCTATTGCACTAAAAATGGATTTACATAAAGCCTTTGACAGTGTCAACTGGAGCTTTCTCGAGAAAGTCTTGAGGGACTTCAACATTCCAGAGGCATTAATTAAACTCATCATGTTCTGTGTTTCAACGGTTAAACTCTCTATGCTTTGGAATGGGGAACCCTTACCCTTTTTTGATCCACAAAGAGGCTTAAGGCAGGGAGATCCATTGTCGCCTTACCTTTTCATTATGGTCATGGAAAAGCTGTCACACATGATTCTTAGCCGCCTGCAGTCTCGATCTTGGAAGCCTATTAAAATTGCAAGAGGGGGTCTTGCTTTGTCACATTTATTTTTTGCAGATGACTTGATGCTTTTTTGCAAAGCATCTCATTCTCAACTCTCAATGGTTATGAATTGTTTAAAGGAGTTCGCTGGATACTCGGGACTGGAGATTAACTTAGCAAAGTCAAAACTCTATATATCACCTAACATTCAAGCTGCAGTAGCCAATTCCTTAAGCAGTGCTTGTGATATCCCACTCACGTCTAACTTAGGCACATACTTGGGGGTGCCAATTATTCATGGAAGGAACTCGGCAACTACATACAAGCATATACTTGAAAGAATGCAGTTGAAACTTGCTAATTGGAAGAGAAGTTCGCTAAGTTTGGCAAGTAGGAAGACACTAATTCAGTCAGCGACTTCTTCAATTCTGGTGTATACGATGCAAATAGTCATTTTACCTCAGAGCATTTGTAGTTCAATTGACAAAATTAATAGGAATTTTCTCTGGGGCTCAGATACAGGGACTCTGAAACCTCATCTTGTTAGCTGGGAAGCTGTTTGTAAAAGTCAAGAACAAGTAGGACTTGGGCTAAGAGCAGCAAGGGAAAATAACGGAGCATTGATATCTAAGTTGGGATGGAGGATGTTAACAGGGGAT